TGTCGGATTAGCGGCGTCAAGAAGTCAACTGCCATTTATTTGCATCCATAAATCAGCGCTAAGCCCTGAGCAGCAGAACTGCAACTGATGGATCAGCGTTGCGTGTCCAGAATGCATCCACTCAATTGGCTTGGACTGCGAGCTAATTGAAATATGCATTTATTTACTTCTAATTGAATGTTCATCTGTCTGCCTTTGTCTCTATCTCTGGCTGCTGTTCCATTAGCAGTTGTCTGCTGCCTGTTTTGACTTGACTACTGCACAATGTCCAGCTCCAATCCCTTTTTCCACTTCAAATGCTTGCTTAATCGTATAATCTGATAAGCATTGTTTTACACAACCCGTCCAAAGTTGTAGACTCTGTAATACATGACTGATTTGAATTGTCTGGCAAGTGTATATTCCATATATATGTAATTCTTTAGTATTAATCACCAATTTTAAACGGAATTTTGCATGCAAGTTATTTTCGCCGATAGTTTCTATATGCTTTTATTTATACTTCATAAGTTAGTACATATACAAAAGTAATCATTATTCTGGTTCTGTGCTCATTTGAGGATTGCCACTATATTCCGTGGCAATCCTCAAGTAACCACATAATGTGTAAAATAATAACTGAAGTCGCTCTTCTTTTGGTGAGGCAGCATGCATTCTTCGAAGTTGAACGATGAAAGCTGGATGAAAGCAATCGATGATGCTATTAAACTTTAAAGGACATCCAATATTCCAATTATTGAGTTTTTCATGACTCACTATGTGTTTTCACTAAAATAAAGTAAACCTCCCAAATAAATTATATGCTCAGCAATAAATGTCAATGAAATAAACCAAATTTGAATCAAATCCAATCTTCTTGAATATGAAGCGGACTATATAATAAAAATGAAAATAGAAAATAGTGCCAAAAAACGATATTTTAAAACTAATTTAATTGACTGTCCACAGTTTATTTATTTGTTAATTGGTAGTTGGCAGGTTGACCTTCCTTATCCTCGTAACTGGCGGTGATGTGATTCGATTTGTATTTCAATGGGTATAATTTAATGTATAATTCATATATGGTGGCATCATTGAAAATGCATTTTCAAACAGAATTAAATGTGTGTTACCTAATATCTATATTATCTCGTCAATATATTTGTAGACAAGCTTAACTTATACGTTGTAGCTTTGTATGTATTATATTAATTAAATAAAATACCCTTATGGACAGGGAATTGAATATTGGAATATTAAAGCCAAAGCAATGCGAATCATTCGAATAACCAGTTAAATAAAATACGAGAAAAATGCAAAAACTATAAATAGCTATAAAATTGCTATTAAATAGTTTTAACAATCGATGCGGAGTTACAATGGATACATTTAATATGTATAAGTGGTTGTGAACGAATTTCATTATTTGGATTCGTCTCTGAATAGGGAACAGATAGTAAATCTTAATCATAAAATCTTTTCTTGTTAAATTTCATTTGATATCACATTGGAAATCATTGGCCGCTTCCACCATTTAACTCCAGCACTCCAACAGAAATACTTACAAATGGCGAATACCCTTCTGAAATGTACAAAAGCTACTACACTTAAAATGTTGTAATAAAATTTTACGAGTGCCTAGCAACAGAGACACGGCTTTTAAGAATCGACCTTATGGCCAGTTCCACAAAAAAAGACCAACACGAAATGAACAAAAAGAACAAAAAGAAGATAATAACCAGACGGACTAAGAAGCTAACAATGCCAAGGCAAAGCTGGAGGAGACTGCAAGAACCGAGTCGAGAGCCAAACAAGCAAAGGACACAAAACAAATAAATATCGTGAAATTCATGAATGAATCAGAAAATCGTGTTGCCTTTTTTAGTCGCTGCTTTTTTTGTTTTTTGTTGTTTATTTTTCGAGGCTCTTCGCTCTGGCGATAGAGAACGAGTCTGTTTGCTGTTGCTAGGGAACATGTTCAGTCTGGTCCGAGTGCAGACTGAAGTCGTCCAGGTCCAGGTTGCTGGTTACAAGATTTTGGTCTGGTGCAGGTCGCCGGCTAAAGCGTTTGCGCATGCGTGACGCCTGTCAAAGCCTGCGGATGGTTGGAAGGTGCCGCAACCAGAGAAAAAGAAAAAGAAGCAGATCTTGCCTCGTTTTGTATTTGTGGCTCCTTTTTTTTTTTGTTTTTTTTTCTTTTTTGGTGCGGCCAGAAACATGTTTCCTTTTTAGGGCCATGGACTTGGGTCATGCTGGGCAGCAGCTACGCGAAACTCGTTCTTCTCTCTGGTTTGCGTCGTCGTCGCTGCTGCATTTTAAACAACCTTGGGGAATAAGGAAGTCGATGTTGGACTCAAAGATGCTGACGCCGATGCCGATGCCGATGTTGATGCCGATGTTGATGTTGATTCCGACTGTTTCCAGCTGCTTTCCAAAAACGCCACTTCAGCTGTTTTTGGCTTTCCTTTCAGCTACTACAATTGCTTGCAATTTCCTACCACTCGATCGAGAAATGCAGCATAAATGGGCATAAATAAATGCAGGCCAGGCAAAAAAGATTGCATTTGCTGCTGAGGCGCAGACACTCGAACTAGAAGTACTTACTCATGCATATACAAAAAGGTACATTCATACACTCATACATTCATATATATATTCATACATTCATGAATCTTGTACCGTGCCCCCGTCAAGTGGCCCATTGAGGCGCCTTCGATCTCCACTCATTTTGTGCTATCTATTTTTGTGGCAACCTGCGTCTGCCCCATCTGCTATTTGTTTTCGCATTTTCACATAAATGAGCGCATATTTCAAAGCGAAATAACAACAGCAATTTGGTTTTTCCCTCCAGTGTGCAGTTCCACAGAAAGCCGGACAATCGATTTGCATGATTTGAAGATACAATGTAATATAAACAATGATTGATGATGCTATAGTTGAGATGAGTTTGGCCGAATGGTGGCTCTGAGTAGCATATTTTTTATGCTTTTGCCTATTAAAAAACAAGCTTAAGGATATATCTTATTCTAACTGATAAATAAATCGTTTCCTTTGTTTATAATGGGCTTTTAGAAGATGAGACAACTATAAATAATTTATATTAGACGATTAAATTTAATAAACAAAATGAACAAGGTAGAGGTAAAATAGACCCTGGAGATACTGGTGCACAGTCTGCTTTTTAATAAATTGAAAGAGGCTTTGGGGAGTTAATGTACTGAAGAACAACCAGCAGAAAATTACCAAGAGAACAAATAAGACAAAAGAGTTTCAAAAACCAAAGAGTTTGCCTGAAGACGTTGCAAAATCTGAGAGAATGCTAAAATAAAAGAGCTATTTTAAGAGCTTGGCCTTTAAGAGTCGACTTTGAAGAGAGATGGTGTAAAGAGAGCTACGCCGTTTTGTTGTCAAGTGAAGGGCACAGCTTTTCGACATTTAATTGTTGGCCAAGAATGGGAACAAACAGTCAGTTCTTATCAAGGCCAACGGCAAAAATGAAATGTGTTTGCTTGGCTAGTCAAAGCTAAACTTGACTTGCAAAAACGACATCGTAAAAATGCTTTAAATTTCGCTATTTTCGCTAATTTAAAACTTGTTTGGCTTTAAATTGGCGCTTGGCTTGGCCAATAAACTTGTGGCGTCTTTCCCTTTCTACGGTTAATAAAAGTGCACATTTTTGAAAGCCAACTTCCTTGGTTGCAATTACAATGGCAAAAAGCTCTTTGCTGCAGCTTGTAGCGCATAAATCACACTTAAGCGACCCCAACCCTTAACCCAACCCAACCCAATTCAAAGCCGCAGCAGCAGCCCCTACTTAAATGCAGGTTGCGCCTTTTACTTGGTCGTGCTGCTGCCGCCATGCGAAAATAAACTGCATGATGAACTTGGGTGAGGGGCAAACAGGGAGACGGCGATGGGCAGCAGTAAAAGCAGTTTTCACTTAACCGGCAAGTGGCACATAAATTTCAGCAAGGACACCGGCACACTTAGCGAACAGCTCAAAAATATAAAGAAAACCACCAACAAGAACAACAACACCAACAACACCAACAACATCCAACAACACCAACAACAACAACACCAACAACAACACCAACTACAACACCAACAACAACAACAACAACGATAGCGTTGTCAGCAACGGCATATTCAGATAAGTGAGCAAAATTGTTCAACGCTCTGTTTCGGCTGGGCTCTTCCTTTCGCTCGACCAAGAGCAGAAATCTTTGCAAATATTTGGTGACAAGAGCTCTCGAGTCCTTGTCGTCCTTGTCGTCCTTGTCATCCCCGTCGTCATCGTCGTCTTCTGTGCGGAATGTCAATCGGTGCATAACATTTGCAACAGCAGCTGCATAAAGTGCAGCAGCTGCCCTTCCTTGCAGCAAAAGCCACTTGATTAACCAGCAAAATAATTTAGGGCGCAGGATCTTAACCCACATTTGACCTGAGAAGCTCACTGAAAAATTGAGTTCGTGTAGTAGTTTCAAGTAGTTTCAATATTTAAATTCTTGGCAAGTCTTTTTCATGTTTTTGAAGATTATCAAAACTTGTAGTTATTACTAAAAAATTATTTCAATTTGTTTGTTTTTATTTTTGACATCATATTAAAGAAGTACTTTCAAATATGAAAATAAAAAAATGTAATATTTGATAAACCAATTCACATGCAAAATTTAAAAGAAAATTTGAAAATATATTTATTCAAGTCTTAACTAATTTATTTGCAATCTACTCAATGGTAAAATGTATATCGTTGAATTTTATACATTCATTACCTTTTGCAATTTATCACACGAACGATTAATTATTTCTAATAATATCTAAAAAAAAAATATTGCTGAAAATACATTAACAAATTAAATGATATTCAAATATCCCAATTTATTCACCGAAGTTTCAAGCACCAATTTTATATTTCTTTTTTAATAATTTATATATTTATAAAATGTACACTTAACTTTTAACTATATTTTCCTTGACATATTAAAGGACTAATTTGTTTCTACTTCTACTACTTCCAGGATAAATATATGTATATAACGCGTATTTCATAATGTGGCAAATGACTTGAAGCGAATCCCGGTAGCGAACTTTAGCAAACGCGCAGCAGGAACAGGTTCCATCCTATAGGAGATATAGGAGAGGATGCCACAGTTCAAGCTACAACTGGCCATTGGCTGCCTGGCGCTGCTTATTTTCGGCTTCAATTTGCTGCTGAGCATAGCTGAGGCCAAGGAGCAGCAGCAGTCGGGGGATGAGTTGCACCCCAAGCAACACCAGCAACACCAGCAACATCAGCAGCAGCATCGAAGCCACTCGAACAGTGGATCGTCGTCAAAGTCCAGGCGCTTCTCCCGCGACTCGAATGCGGCCCGCGAGCGGCGACCGAATATAATCCTCATCCTGACCGACGATCAGGATGTGGAGTTGGGCTCCCTTAACTTTATGCCCCGCACCCTGCGGCTGTTGCGGGACGGAGGTGCGGAGTTTCGGCATGCCTATACCACAACGCCGATGTGCTGTCCGGCGAGATCGTCGCTGTTGACGGGCATGTATGTGCACAACCATATGGTGTTCACCAACAACGACAACTGCTCCAGTCCGCAGTGGCAGGCGACGCACGAGACGCGCTCCTATGCCACATATCTATCGAATGCTGGCTATCGCACCGGATACTTTGGCAAGTATCTGAACAAGTACAATGGATCGTATATACCGCCCGGGTGGCGTGAATGGGGTGGTCTGATCATGAACTCCAAGTACTACAACTACAGCATCAATCTGAATGGGCAGAAGATAAAGCATGGATTCGATTATGCCAAGGATTACTATCCCGATTTGATTGCGAACGATTCGATTGCATTTCTTCGCTCGTCCAAGCAGCAAAACCAAAGAAAACCCGTCCTGCTCACCATGAGTTTTCCAGCGCCACACGGACCCGAAGACTCTGCCCCGCAGTACAGTCATCTGTTCTACAATGTGACCACACATCAGTGAGTGCCACACAGCATCGAAACTGAACTTTCACATCATTTTTCAAATTCTCATTATACTTCAGCACTCCCAGCTATGATCACGCTCCCAATCCCGACAAGCAGTGGATCTTGAGAGTGACCGATCCCATGCTGCCGGTGCACAAGCGTTTCACAAACGTCCTCATGACCAAGCGCCTGCAGACACTCCAGAGCGTCGATGTGGCCGTGGAGCGTGTCTACAACGAGCTGAAGGCCCTGGGCGAACTGGACAACACGTACATTGTATACACCTCGGATCATGGATATCATCTGGGTCAATTTGGTCTGATCAAGGGCAAGAGTTTTCCCTTCGAGTTCGATGTGCGTGTGCCCTTCCTCATCCGTGGTCCCGGCATACAGGCATCTAAGGTGTAAGTTGTCTACCTACTTGGATTACATTTTTTAATTATTACATAAGGAAAGTTATCAACATACATTGAACATCAATTCTGCTCATAAAAACTTTTTACTAAACATATTTTGATTTAGGAAAAAACGTACAAAGTTCAAACTGCAAATGAAAAGACTTCAAATTTAATCTGGAATCAAATAAATCATATTTTAAATATATATTAAAATATCGTAAAACATTTCTAATAAGCTTACATTTAAGCTTTAAGTGAGAATTATTTTGTTAATCAGAAACAAGTCTGGCAGCAAAGTGTTATAATATTCGAGAACACACTGTATATTTTTGAATGTATTTTTATAGGGTCAACGAGATCGTATTGAATGTGGATTTGGCCCCAACCTTTCTGGACATGGGCGGAGTGCCGACGCCTCCCCAAATGGATGGACGCAGCATTCTGCCGTTGCTGCTCAGTCGCAATCGTATTGTGCGCGACACTTGGCCGGACAGCTTCCTTATCGAGAGTTCAGGTCGTCGAGAGACGGCGGACCAGATTGCCGAATCTCGGGCGCGTCTGCTGGCGGAACGACGCAACATGAAACTAGTCAATAGCACATTACTCGAGGATCTGCTGGGCAGGGACAACATGACCACAACCACCATCAGCAGCAGTAGCAGCAGCAGCACTGTAGCCACGATGCTGAGCTCGATGGCGACTGCAGTGGAGCAGGATGAATTTGAAGATGACGCCGACACCGACACAGAAGATGACGATGGGGATGGAGAGGGTGCCATGGACAGTTCAGCGCCTGCACTGGACGATGACGAACTGGAAGATGGCGCAGCCGAAGAGGATGAAGATGATGAGTTGGAGGAGCAAGAGCTGCTGCTGCAGCAGCATGACAACAATCTACCATTAGCACCCTACATCACCAAAATGATGCGACTCAACTCGGAGTGCTCGGATCCGGCGCTGCTAAAGAACTGTCTACCCGGCCAGAAGTGGAAGTGCGTCAATGAGGATGGACGCTGGCGCAAGCACAAGTGCAAGTTCCATGTGAGTATGCCATGATAAGATTAAATAATGACTTCAACCTTGGCAGCTATGACTGATTGTCAAATCTATTCAAAAGAATCCAAATTTAAGTCTCACTCAGTGACGACAAAAGAGAGTTCATTAAACTATTATAATATTATTATATTCAATAACACAATCAAAGGCAGATAGCTAAAAGTACATATTATAATTTTGTGAGCAAACTGAGAAGTAGAGAGCCATAAAATGTTTGCTTAGACACAACGGAACCAAGAAGTTCGCAATATTAATAAGGAGTAAAATAGAGTCACTCTCACCTGATGAGAGTTTGTGGGGAAATGTAATTCCAGTGCAGCTCAGTGGTTCTAATGCGTAGATTAGAAATTAAAGCGAACAAATTAAAAAAACTGCAAGCTGATGATGCACTTGAGATATATTTAAACTATCTAAATAAAGAGTAATAATAAAAATATAGCAGCAGCTATAATAAGTGAATAGTTAAACTGCAATAAAAAAAACCGTATATTTAAAAATGAACTTTAATTTAATATGCGAGAAAAACTTCAACCGTCAACCCCTCGTATTTAAACGACTAACATAATTATTGGGGCAAACTACACCTATTTGATCTATTGTACCCCTGGGCCTATAGCTCTTCCATCAGCCCCAGCTCCCGCACGAATGTGAGGATCATTATTGGGTTGAGGTCTTCTATGTCTCTGCAATTCAAAACTTGCACCCCTAGTTAAGGCGACACATTCTGCCAGGATGTGTATCGAGGATTCCTGCTCTCTTTCACAAAACCTGCACAGATCGCTACTTTATATACCCAATTTTGTTAGGGACTTCTTAGTCTACAGTGTCCTGTCAATAGACCGGTAAGTATCCTAAGGCTGTTCTTTCCCAGTCGTATAGTGTGTCTCCCTATGCCACAATACGGTTCTGGTCCTGTTAGGGGCCTTTCTGCCCCCATTCTTGCTTGCTTGTCAGCCGCCTCGTTTCCCGCTATGTCCCTGTTACCCGGAACCCATCGTAGGGTGAGCCTGTTGTGAGTCCCGAGTAGGTCTAGCTTTGAACGAACTTCATGGACTACCTTCGATGTTATCTTAGCCCCCATTATAGCGTTCAATGCTGCTTGACTATCGGATAGGATGGATATGTCCGTATTCCGATAGTTACGTTTTAGGTTGAAGAAACGATATACATAGTAAAAGTAATTTTGTGACTTATTGTTAAAAACTGCTCCTTTCCAGTTGCAGCTAGAGCATCAGCTGGCGATGATGCCACGAAAACAGTATCAGCGCAACTGCGCCTGCTTCACCTCGGATGGATTGGTCTACACCAAGATAAGGGCGCCTACATCGACGCTACACTCGCATCGGCTCCACAAGCGTACACATCTGCATCAGCACCAGCACCAGCACCAAAATCAGCACCATCTCCATCAGCAGCTGGGCAAGCGACGCCACAAACGACACGCTTCGGATCTGGAGGTGTATCACACAGAGCTGCCCTACGAGATGGAGGAACTGCTCGATCTCGACAAATCAGTTGATTTGCTTGTGAAGCATGGAAGGCGAAGCAAACGAGAGGCGACTGCTAAACAGAATGTGACCAACATTAACTCCAACTCCAACACCACCTCCAATGATGCAATTGCAACGGTCATACAGCAAATCCAGAGCACGCTGGATACACTGGAGCACAAGATGCACAGCAGTATTCCGGTGGGGCGCGGAGGCAAGTTTCAGAAGGGCGGCACTCGCTGCTATGTGGAGGAGAGCACCGATAAGGTCAACTGCTCGGATGTCATCTATGAGGATGAGAAGACCTGGCGCACATCGCGCAATCAGATCGACATGCTGATCAAGCTGCTCAAGGACAAGATCAGCACACTGAAGGACATGAAGAAACAGATGCGAGAGAGCAAGCAACAAGCGGCAGCAGCAGCTGCTGCAGCAGGTGGCCGACGTGGCGACAATCGGCGACGCAATGAGGCAGCTGCTGCCCAGGAGGGTGCCGGACCCGAGTTTAATATGAGTTATTTCAGCACCATGAATAGCACACCGCGTCCTTCCATCCTGCTGCCGAATGTGTATAGCGCTGGGCAGAAGGAAATCCTGCGTGGTGTTGGCAGCGCTGCTGTCTACGAATCCCTGGAGCAATCCCATCCCATGTCACAATTTGCATCGCGTGCCGAGTGCTACTGCGAGCCGGACGCGGGTGAAAGGTAAATGAATACACAAACTGCAATCGCTGCTGATTCATTTGATTTAACTGATTCATTCTCCAACCTTAGCCATGCGGACTCCAAGGAGATGGCACGCGAGGCGCGCCGCAAGTTGAAAGAGGAGCGTCAGCGCAAGAAGGAGCGTAAACGCATCAAAAAGGCGCGCCTGGAAAAGGAGTGCCTGTCGGAGAAGATGAACTGCTTCTCGCATGACAATCAGCACTGGCGCACGGCACCCTTCTGGAACGACAGCCCCTTCTGCTTCTGCATGAATGCCAACAACAACACCTACTCCTGTCTCCGGACCATCAATGCTACCCATGATTATCTCTACTGTGAATTTACGACGGGCCTGATTACATTCTACAATCTAACCATAGGTAAGGTCCTATTTATGTATTACTAAAACAATGCTAAACTAAATAGAAGGAAAGATTTAAGGCCATCTAGTTTTCTATTAAGTTAAGATCAGATGTACCGAAATATAAAAAATCATAATGGTAACATTATATTACCCACCATAATAAGATTATCTTTTGGTTAAGTTCGTTTTTTTTAGAGCCTAAAATCAATATTTTTAATTAATTGAGGAGCTTTACATCTATCTAGAAATCTTGTGAGTAATAAAATGTTAAAATACGTAAAAATGTAAAATATGTAAAATTAGAACCGCTAGAATTACAATTTATTTGAATAGTTATAACTAAATACCTGGAGGCATACATCTTATAAATTTAGTAACAATAGAACACTTGCTGTCAACAGTTGCAACAGTTCCTTAAGACACTTTCTCAATCGTGATTACATTAAGAATTGCTTTACTTTCCCTATACTCATATATATATAAATATATATATACAGATCGCTTTGAGACGCAGAATCGTGCATCGAGTTTGACGCCCGCTGAGAGATCCTACATGCACGATAGGCTGGAGCGCCTGAAGGGCTGTCGTGGTCGCAACTGCAGCGTGCGCAGACAGCTGCCACAAGTGGGCATGGCCACAGCCGTCCTGCAGCCCACCGCTGTCAATCACGTACAGCGCAACAACAAACGCAAGCATGGTAAGCAATAAGCAACAAGCAACAAGTTGCAAACTCACTGCATATATTTGATTTGGTCATTTGTTTTACCTTACAGCGCTGCTGTCGGCCAGCGTGGGCAACTTTGGGTTTGTGAGCAGCCGATCGGATATGGATGTGGTGCCACCTGCCAAGCGACGCAAGCTCTCCAAATATCACAGGTGAGCTACCAGGTGCCAGGTGCCTGAAAACTGAGAACGATCGGCATTTATTTTACTCGACAATTGCCACAGATGGACTAACTCGCAGAATACGCATCTGAAGCGTCGCCCCTGGAAGCAGCAATCCCACAGATACTTGCCCCAGTCAGAGCCCCACCAGCAGCCAGTGCCCCCAATTGCCGCCTAAGCAGCGGCAATGTTGCACTTCACTCCCAGTACCCAGTGAGCACATATCCAATGCATATCCAGCTTACCACACCCTTCAGCGCACTGCTCTGGTCTACATACACGGATGTAGGGATGGATGTATGTGAGATCCGTTCTGGTATATTTTCAGCGTAAATAAGACTGTGTTTTTTATTCAACTTATGTTTAGTTTCATTTTCTCTCCGCGACTCTTTGCTTCTTTGGCTTAAATTGAAATATAAATAAACTCTAATTAGCCATTAAGTGATTTAATTTGTATATACATTTTGAAAGAGAATGATAAAAAATATTTACACACTACATAAATTATTTAGCGCAATTGGATTACAATTTAATTATATAGTAGATGACTACACTTAGCCAAGAAATCAAGTTAAAATAGAGATCATATTTACATACATAATTGTAGTGATTGTATTTATTGGAAATTGCTAAAAACGCTAAGCAAATAACAATTTAATCTGTTATTGTTTTTAATGCAAATAAAAACGAACAAAAACTAAAACTAAAACAAAAACAATAGTTATTTATTGACAGTGTGCTGTAATAATTAAGTCAACTCGTTTATTAGCAGGCATTACACTTTAATGAACAAATCTTATTGTATCTGCTGAGGCAAAGTTAATATCGAGCGTTTAACAAAAATATACTCTAACAAAATAAATAAATATGTAAAAAAAATGACTACATACGTAATTTATAGTTTTATTTATTGATTGTCGATTTGAACACAATATTTACACCTTACTCAAACAGAACTTGTCAGTAAACAAACAACACATCCCAATTAACCCTTTTTGCTGACGTAAATCCTTTTGCATCAGAATTTAAGGGCACAATAGATATTGTAGGACGTAGGGCAGTTATCCCATTAATTATAATAATCGCAGCTCCCATAAGTATGCTACAGAAATCGAAACTTGTCTGAGCAGATGAAAAGATTTTGTAGCATACTTTTTGAGACACACGAAGCAAAACGTTGAGAACGTGAGGAATGGAGCAGGTAAATAATCTGCATTGCAGTGTACCGTAAATCAAGTGTATATTATATTTTATATTATATGTGCACACACAAATTGTTGCTTTTGTTGTCACAACAATCACAAGAAAACAATGTGAAATACCCAAACTTTGAACGAAACTTGATTTACGTAAAGGCTTAAATGTTCTCGTACATTTCTGCCTATTGACAGCCTTCCAAATATTTGGTTACAATTTGTAAGGAGAATTAATATAATTGGCTTTTGATGCGTTTTTCATACATTTCAAAGTTGTATACAATAAGCTCAGAGCTGTCGTAAACAAGAGCTCTAAAACAACTATCTAGAATTCTTTTGTTTTTGTTTTTGTTTTTGTATTTTCATTGTATGAATAAAAGTAACCTTAACCTGAATTATTTAATATTTAAAAGAAAAGATATCAAATAATTAAGTCAATTGGTTGTTCCGAATCTGTTAAACAGGTCAGCCATAAATCAGAGGAAGATTCAAAGATTGCTCAGCTCGAGTGTTGCTATCGAGTCGTATTATAAAGATTAAATATTGACCGATATTGGCAACTTTGTCGAGCAGAAAGAGTTAATCAAAACATACATCAAATATGCGATCACTAAAGTAAATGTATGCGAATGTATTTTGTATGCATGAAAAATTAAAATTTAACACAAGCTGATAACAAGTGATAACAAACAAATTCGCACAACGGTAATTGCTTCATGGTGGTGTGTGTGTGTGTGTGAGCCACAGACTGATCTGGAAATTTAGATGAATTTGAATCTAAATCGTGACCAGCTTCCATGGGCTCACGTTGCTACTTGCCCAAAGTAGAAAAGCTAGGGCCATGGGGGAGGGTGCGGTGCGGCAGGTGTCTACAAATTCAGAAGTAAATAAGCTGTGACCATATGCGCTAATTAAATCGCCGAGATGTTTTCATGTGTTGTCAAATATTGTTACCCACTTGGCAATTCACACTTGACACATGGACTCGCTAATTTTCGCTGCAGCTACGGCCCCATCTTATCATGATCAAAACAAAGTCGCCACCCGGGAGAGAGATGGAGAGCTCAAACCGAGAGAGAGAGGGAGAGAGAGAGAGTGTTGATGAGTGTGCCAACAGAGAGAGAGAGAGAGAGAGAGAGACATCCGCTCGGAGCGTACATGGGGAGATATCGTGTTAAAATTTTGCGCAACCAGCAGAGTTATCAGCTTGAAATTTATTTATTGTTTGCTAGACGACTGACAAACACATATATATGTATTTATACCTCCAGCAACAGTATCTTGGGTGCGTATCCGAGGCCTTTGCTCCACCACACTTGTACTTGTCACTCCGCCCCTCCGTCCGTCCCCCTTTCTCCTTGAGTCAGCCGTTGCTCGATCTTGGAATAGCAACGAGCGTTTATTGTTAGTACGGGGCCACTTTACGATTCGCGCACTTCAATCGAGATATCGTGCTGAAATTTCACAATTTCAGATTTGCCTCACCTGGGCCGGGGCCTCTTTATGACCGGCGGATTGAACTCTCGAGGCACGTACAAAGACTATACTGGCCAGCAGTTGAGACTCATAAAAGACTGAACTCAATCTTAGAGCCGAAATAAAACTTCCCCCACAACAATTAACTGCAAATCGGTTTTTATTATATTAATAGAATAAATTCTTTACATTTACGTATAATGCGACGATAAGATGTGCAGATGTTATCGGAGAATAATTGCTATATACAAATTTTTTGGGAAGTGTAAGAGAAGAGACTAGAAGATGTTATGAAATATCTCATCTTAGATATTCTGGCGCCAGTCATTTATCATATATTTGACAGATTTACATGGCTCATTAAGATTATAGATTTACACACCTTAACAGTGCGGCTAATAGAACACAGGAACTGTCAATATTATGATATAATATTGTAAATAAATGTAGTTATTTGCTCAATTGGTAAATATTATGTGTTATCTGTGTGTTGACTTTGTAATCTCTTAGCACACGTGGATACTTAAGTTAAACTGGCTCAAAATAAAATTTCAGTTAGTAACAACTTCCCATATACTTGTCACAACTGTCAACAAATCCTCTGTAATACGTATACATAATTTTAAAGCTAAAGTGCAACGTATTTGTGTCTGTCGTGTCGAAACCGACAACACCTAATCAATACCATTTTCTGATACCGAATAATGTAACATTTTAAAATGAAAATCCCCCTATCTTTATGGCTTGTACGCCGAGTGTTTCTTCATTTGGTAATAGTAAATTATCAAATTCAGTTTCTTTCTACTTTTCAAACAAACACGAAGAGTTAAGCACTTGCTCCACTTGCATACAGTATTCTAATTTGATCTAGAACTGTGTTCCTGAAAAAGATCAAAGTAATTGAAAAGTTCATTTCAAGTATTGCATAACAATCGAAATCTGTACTTCTGTCTGCATATCTGCTAAAAAGCAATATCTTGTTGCAACTTTATGAATTTACCTTTGCTTAAGGAATATTAAATCAATCTGTTAGCTTTCAGTTTGAGATCGGTAGATGCAAAATCGTATTATCATCAAACTACAATATCAAATAACGATCCCATCAGAACCTTCTTTATATTATATATTATAAATGATATATTTTGCATGAATTTACACTTGATTGAAATTGAGTACTGCTGAATATCAGAATATCGTGTCATATATTTGTCGACAAGACAATTTAATCTGCGCCAATATCAAAAGATATCTGCTTTTGTTCGGCCGATTCTGTCAGATTATAAACAACAATAAAAAGCATTGTTAAAAATTTGGTTTTTTAATTTGTGTATTTCTTATAATTGCTTTGATTTTAAACTTTATTGCTTACAGGCTAAATAAATATAATAGATATATAATATAATCTCTGCTTAGCAGTTAGTAATGTATTCATATCAGCGTGCACCCAAGGACACGTCCAGATGGTTGGCTTAATTCTATTTGCGGTGCGATTCGAGCAGCTTTTGGGTTACTTGGCGCAACACCTTCAACTTCTCCTCATATTTGTGGGCCTCCGCCAACTGGTCTGCTTCGCTGATGCCGGACTCAGTCTCCGTGTGATGTTCGTGATCGTGATCGTGATCGTGATCATGATCTCCAGCACCGGAACAGCTACCGTGACTGTGTCCATGACCACCACTGGCGCCTGCAAAGGTACAACACAAAACAAGAAATCATTTTTAATTGAGCTATTAAAAAATGTTGGCAACTACGCAGCAAATTAAATGATAATTGAAAGGTGTCATAAATTTGCATTTGCAATATAAGTCTTTGCTCGCTTGATTGACAGTCATGCGAGATTAACGGGCGGTTCTTTACAGTGCTCGGACTTGGGCATCCCCAAGTTGCTGCAACGATGATTAAACTACTGGGGTTTTTCTCAACCTGTTTGCAGTGTACACAAGCACACACAGCAAAAGCACCAGTATCTCCCAACCGCAGAGCAACAAGGCCTGTTACAAGGCTAAAACCGCAAAAAAAATATGATAAAAAAAAACACAGGTATATACAAAAAAAAAAACAACAAAAAAAGATAATAAATAAAAGAAAAACAACTACGTCGAACCATTTTAAAAGCAAATGCTGTGGCAAAGAACCTGTTCCCGCTTCTGTAGAAACGATTCCGGTTCAAGAGTCACAGAGTTGACTTAATCTCTTCCTAAAGCCAGTCAGCTAGAGCAGATCAACACACACACACACACACACACATTCTTGGAAGTTTACTCACCTATCTGTTGCAATCCGAACATAATCAGAAATCCAACGAAGAGCGCCAGATAAGCGCGCAGTCCGGAGCGATTCTTCGATAATATTTCGAAGAAGACCACGTAGAGGAGTGTGCCGCAGGCGAAGCCCTGCAGTATGGCCGACACCAGATTGGGTCCGCCACCACTCTGGCCGTGGCTAATCAGTATGCCCAGACCAATGCCGAGGGGGCTGACAACGGCAAATGTGAGCACATAGAGCACGGCCAGACTGAGACGGGTGCGGGCCACAATTAGCTCGACGCCAACACAAAAGGCTAGAACCAGTTTGTGGGCAGAGACAGCGCCAAACATGAACCACACCGAGCTAGCCGAACGCTCCAAGCCAATGGCCATGCCTTCGAAGAGTTCATGCAGCGACAAGGCCAGCACAATGAAGAGTCCTCGCAGCGAGGAGGTGAGCATATCTCCCGAATCGCTTTCGCCGTCTCCAATGGGCAGATGACTGTGGCCATGACTGTGATTGTGGCTATGATTGTGGCTGTGATTGTGACTGTGATTGTGGCCGTGATTGTGTTGATGATGATGCACTGCTCCATACTTCTGCTGCTCCAGATCGTTTTGCATGAGATCCTGCACGGAGAGCGTTGTCGCAGTGTTGTTGCCACCAGCTGCGGCAAGTTCCGCACCCGTTGCCGATTGGCCTGTCTTTACGAGATGACTATGCCGGACGCTGTGACCACGCTCAAAGGCGGCACCAGCATCATCTTGATGATGCCGGTGGACATACGAATGCATCGCCTCCTCAATGAAGTACATGAGAAAGAAGCCACAGCACATGAGCAGCTCGGCCAGTGGGAAAGTTAGCTGGCCAATGATCTCGCACTCCTGCAGCTGCTCGACGACCTCCTGCACCTCGGGCAGCAGGTGCAGGAAAGTGGTGGACAGCAGGACACCACCGCCAAAGTACAGCAGACACTTCACAACTGTCGCTGAACGGGCATTCGTCTGATTCTCTGTCCAGTGGTAGAAGCGATTCAGCAGGAACGGAACGGAGCCACAAAGTGCACTCGCACAGCAGAGCACCAGCATGGCGGTAATCTTGGCCGTCAGCAGACCATCGGAGTCCTCATCCCCATGATCGTGATCGTGATCGTGATCGTGCTCGTGGTCGTGATCATGATCGTGATCGTGATCATGATCGTGATCGTGACGAGCGTGATGAGCCGCTAAGTGGCTAACGGGCTCATCAATTTGCAGGAAGCATTTCAAGAAATTGTTGACTTGTGTTTGATTCATTGTTGCGCGTTGGGAGTAATTTTCCGTTCTCTCTCTCTCTCTCTTTCTCTCTCTCACTCCAACTCTTTGTCTTTGGCCTATAATCGCCCAAAATTCAAAAACAAAATGTTATTGTTGTTGGAGCAACAACAAGTGCGACTTCATTTGGGGTGGGGGGGATTCCAAATTGTCTGCTTTGAATTTCAACGATTTATTTTGTTGTATTTTCACTTTCAAGTTTTCGGATGCAAAGTTTTTCTTTCACAAACACAAAACGGGATTCGGTTGACGAAGTTATATTTAACACTTTTTATAATGTTCAATTACTTTTTCCTCTTTGTATATATTTTTTTAGTTGAATGCGCCGCATATGTCTTGAGGGTTTGAGGCGATCGCACAGACTGATTGACGTTGGCTGAAACCGAGTCTGGTTGAAGCTGTTGCTGCCAGCGGTTTTTAGTGCCGATTGTCTATCTTGCAGTTGTTTGCTTTTCTCGCTCAGGCTCGCTGCTGCTGCTTTTGCTGCTGCTGCTGCTGCTGTTGGGCTGTTGGACTGCAACATACGCTAGCCAACTCTCGCACCGTCGCGACGTCGCCGTCGCTCTGTCGCTACGTGAGCAGCAAATTAAGTAAGCGTAAACACAGCTGAAATGCTCTTAGCGTTCAAGCTTCTTGCTCTCTTCTGCATACTCGAACGTTCACCTGTTGTTGTGCCGTTCAACAAATACAATTTGTTTTGGGCTAAGCATAAAGCGAATAAGCACACACAGATACACACACACACACTCATACACACACAGTAGATTGTACAATGCATAAAGGCCAATGGAATTAATATTGGCGAATCATTTTTCATTGCATACCTTCACTTTTCGCATCACTGGAGTATGAACGCAACAGACAGAGAGAGAGAGAGAGTGAGGGAGTGAGTGAGAGGGAGGGGGGTGATTTGACCTTTAGTTAGCTCTAGTTAGGATCAAACTGCTTTATTTTATTGCGACTGCAGCGGCCGCTCAAATTTACCGATTTGCCAAAAGCTTTTGCATGAAACGAATATAAAAAGCTCGCGGTGCTTGTCTTGGCTAAAATTTAGCAACAAACATTTGTTAAAAGCAGTTTCAAATATAATTAGCAATCGCTATAAATACGACTTTAACGGAGCTCTTCCAAATAATTACAAAATGATCACGCTTCCGGAAACTCCACAAAATTGCAAGGTTTAATTATACAACAAACAGTGACGCTCACAAGTTAAATGCATATGTAAATATTCTGAGTCATTCGCTTATTTATTCGCTTAATTATTCTCCCGTCCGCATTTATTAAGTTATATGAATTTAAATACCCGTTTTTCTTGATTACACACAACTACTTTACATAAGCGTTACAAGTTTATTGTGCAAATATATAATCTGAGCTAGGCATGAAAATATATTAAATTTTACATCAAGAGATCGTTCAGTTATTGCAAACTCCCATTAGATTTGATACCATGCAAAAGTTTCGAAATTTATGAATTCCTCTTCAAATTAAAGTTAATTTAATTTAATTTAATATAGGTCAATTACAAATTTATAACAAATAACTATGACTTGAAAGCTAATACTCGTTATATATCCAAGTATTTTTGCAGATATCAAATTCAAATATATTAGTATCAACACTGGATAATTGTGGTTTGCCTGTAAATTAAACAAGATGCATTTTTTTTTTAATAATTTCCTTTTATTTTGTTTTCATTTTTAGCTTGTTTTTTTCTGTTTTTCTGTTTGTTTCTTAGGGGTTTTCTTTCTTTCGCTTAAATCATTTATGTTTTGTTACTTATAATTAATAATAAATCATTTTTATACAATATTTATCTTTTACATACTTGTATTTCACTTGTCAACTGAAATGGCGCTTAGGCATTTCAGCTGGAAATGACTTAAATAATTTTCATGTTTTGTTTTTCTTTGTTTCTTTTTTTTTTTTGTTGGTTTTGTTTTTGTCGCTCGCGTATGCAATAAATTTAAATGTTAAATTTGTTTAAAACTGCTTGCCAGAGTTAACAAAGTTAACTGCTTTACCTGCAATTAGCGAAAGGCTTTGCGTGCACTGCTTGCCAACCGAACACGATTCAACATCCCCCGCACTCCGTACTCCTTAATCCTTACTCTTTACTCCTTCCCATCCATCTGCTGTTCGATCTCGATTTCTGTATAATATGTTAAGTTCTGTTCTGAATGCCTTTTTTCTGTAATCAATTTGGTAAATATATATATATATATCTTTATATATATATATGTATTATCAATGCATCCGCTTAATTTCTTGTGTTATGTTCTTGTTTCTTTTATCAACATTAAAGTACATTATTTTGTATGTATAATTTGTTATACTTGACTGTTTATAGAAATATCGCTTTCTTATTATTGTTGTTTAGCATAATTTTGTTTTTTTTTTATATTTTTTGTTTTGTTTTAATTTTTGTGTGTGTTTTACGTTTTAGATTTCATATATAATACAAATGATTTTCATTTAGCTATACAAGAAATTTGGTAAGTTTTATATGATTTTTGTTATGATGTATTATTCAATGTTTTGAAATTTGATTTTTATTTTTACCCATGCTTGAAGAAAATCGCAAAAACACATTTAAAGTTAAATTTATATTTTTCTTTTCTTAATTTGCTTGTTGTTCTTGTTGTTTTTGTTGTTGTTGTTGTAAAGTTAACACTATTTTTATCGTTCTTCTTCTTGCTTGTCATAGTATGTATATTTAATAAGTATAAAAAATTTGTTTAAAATATATATCATAGAGTTGCTCTTGTTTTTACGCTTTCTGCATATGCTGGTGGAGGAGGGGGGAGAGGGGCAAGGAAAACAAATTCGTTCAGATGGGTTTAAAGTAATTCTTTTCTTTAGCTTTTCATATTTCAATTATTTTGTGATTTTCTTTATAGATGTGTGTTGTTTGTTGTTGTTGTTGCAGTTGTTGTTGTTGTTGTTGTTCTTGTATTTGTATGCATGTTTTGGGTACGGGAGGCGTAGCTGCAGGCAGCTTTTAGTGTAGTAAGAGTATGATGTAAGTTTAGTATCACGTAATATCAAAATAAATAGCTCAGTACTTTGTTTTTATTTGCCCTTCATCAAATATATTATTCCATTTCTTTTCTTTTTGTCCCCTTCAGTTTTATCATTAACTATAAAGTGATTGATCTTGAGTAGTTTCTAGCTTTTCTTTTTAGTTACTTTCTGGTTTTTGTTTTCTTTCTTTTTTCTTTCTCTCATATATTTGTATTTTGTTTTGTTTAGCTATTGGAAAACATATAGTGTCTATATAGTGCCCTAGAAGGAGAGTGTGCTACATTTTTGTTTAAGGCTTTACGTGTGGAATTCCAGCTGCACTGCATGCGATCTTTCATTTTCATTTCATTTTCATTTTCATTTTTGTTTTGTTTTTTTTTTCTTCTACTAAATTTCGTTAAATTACGTATGTAAATAAAATTGACCTAAAAAACACACACACACTAATCAAATAAATGCACTAATCTTGTACAAAATAATGAGTTCAACTACAAAAAACATGAATCGCATTTTAAGTTCCACCTTCGGCGAATAGTTATAAAAATTATGTACAATAGCATATACTCAACCCGTATATACAAACATACAATACAATACAATACAATACAATACGATACAATACAATATATATAAAAAGAAAAAAGTGCATCCAAAAACAGAGCTAAACAAAAGCTGCCTACGCTAAGAGAGATACGAGTGTGGTTCCAGGAGGGGCCGGAGGGGCTGGTAGAGACAAATGGGGGGAGGGGGGGAGTTTAGTGTATATGCGTGTGTGTTGGTGTGGGTTGGTTGAGAGTTCTTTTGAGTCATATACGAAATATGCGTACACATAAATATACAATTAAATAATTTCTTTCATATGTTCAATAGTTATTTGTTTTTTGTTTTGTTTTGTTTTGTTTAATGAAATACTTGTTATACGCGTATTTTAATGTACAATTTGTTTGTCTATAAATATTTATGTACGTATGTATATGTAATGCTTTGTTGTTGTTGTTTCTGTATATTTAAGTGTTTATGTGTTGTGTGTGTTGTGTGTAAATGTGTCGTTCTGTTTTTAGTTAAGATCAATTGGATATTTCTCAGCTTTTTAGCACGAGTCTGAGCTGCCTTGGCTTTGAGTTATGAAATTTAATATGACAGATTTGTAATTATTATTTTGCAATAATTGTGTATGTATATTATTTGCATTTTCTTTTGTTTTCCTTTGTTGTTTGTTTTTGTTTTTCTTTTCTTTTTTTTATTAATAATATAATTAATAATTATAATAATTTATATAATAAACATAAACGCAAAATTGGTAAATAATAAAAATAATAATAAAATTGTGTTTTTTTCTTATGTTTTGTATTTTTTTGTTGCAATTTTTCTTTTACTGTTTTTTTTATTTTATTTTTGTTTATGTGGTGTTTAATGTTTAGGTTCTGTTTTTTTTTTTTTATTTGTTTTGTATAATTTTTTGTTGATTTTTTTGTTTTAACTATTTTCTGTTTTCTGTTTGCTGTTTTCTGTTTGCGGTTTCTGTATTTATATATATAAATTACAACGGAAGTGTCGGTGTATTTGTAGTTGGTGTTGGCGTCAACATCGACGCGGATGGAGGATAACGCAACGTGTGCTGCGACGTTGCTTGTTGTATGTAATCCTGACTCGGATTATTCAATACGCTATCCCGTGAGTTTGAATGTGAAGTGGCGCGCAGCAATGTGACTGCCTCGCGTTCTGGACTACATTGTACACCTTCTAGTCATTTTTGGCGCGTTGATTTCTTCTTCTTTCGTTTAAAGAAACAACAACATCTGGAATATAAGGAACCACTAGAAACAGTTACAAGAGAGACACCAAAAAAAAAAAGAGAGATGCGCATTAAAACGACAAAGCAAAAACACCAAAAACAAAACAATTTTGTTTCGTTTCGTTTCGATTCGAGTCGATTGTGTGATATCGATAAATCGACAATCGACAATCGACAATCGAATCGATAGCGATCTATTATTTTTTGGATAGCATACTTTGTTTCGTCGACAAGCTCTACTTCGGGCTGCTGTGTGATGGGTGTGTTGGAGTGTCCGGCCGTGGGATCGTCCGCATTCAGTTCGCCATTTGTCGAACTCACAACCTGTAACAACGACACATGAAAACATGAAATTGATTTGCATTAGTTACGTTTTTTTTCCATTCGCTTAACGCACTTACACTAAACATAGAGTATACATATTGTCTGCATTTTCATTAATTGGTGATAATACATATTAAGACGTTTCATAAAACCTTTTTGTTTTTATAGCGCTAGTCAAAAAATGTTCAAATACAATACTAACGGAAAAAATGAACAAAAACAATGGCCCATCTAGAGATTGATGAGTTATTGCTACTTTTGTGCGACTACCATGTGGTAATTCCAAGTGAAATGTGGCTAACACTACAACACTACAAGTGAGCAAATTTTGAGACTTTCAAGTGTCTGGAAATTCCAAATGACCTCATCGATATCGATATGGCATATTAAGCGTCTACTATTGGCCTGCAAACGACCCTACACTAATTAGCAATGATGGTTAAAAAGAAAAATCAGTACAAGCTTCTGATATATACCAATGGCACTATGCATAAATAGGTACAGTTATCGTGGCATGGTTTCATATTTTTAAAATGTTTTTTAGAAATTAAATTTTTTTTTTTCATTTTGTTTTATTATTTTTTGTTTACTCGTCTTTAAAGTTGATTTTTTTATGTACATAAAAATAGTTTTATTTTAAAATTAACTTTTGCATTATTTAAAAAAAATTTATTTTTTAATTTGTGATTTTTTTTTTTAAATATTTTAAAAATTTATTTTGCTATCTAAGCGAAATGTAAATTGAAATGAAACATATAATTTTTGGTACAATTTATATTAAACAAAATTATATAAATATAGCATGATTTTTTTAAGTAATAGGAACAACTAAAAGTCTGATAAAAGTTTTTGAAAGTATTTCAAGTTGGTTTAACGAATTCAAATTGTAAATGAATTGTATTAGTAGTGGTAGTTCCGCCGCTCGGCATTATCAGAGTAGTGCTGATTGTTGCAACACTTGGACGTACTACAGAGATTGCCTTTAATATATCCAGCTAGTTTGCATTTATCTGCTTTTGTTTGTACTAAACCACCATTGATTCTAACTGTATATACCCAATTACACAAGAGACACAAGCACACTCACTCACACACAGACATACACACACACACACACACACACACAGAGACACACGGACATAGCAAACTGGAGGACAGGCCACAGGAATTGCATGAAATACCTCGAGAGCTCATTTTGTTGACACTAGTTACACATTTTGTGAATAGAACCTTATATAGCATATTGTTTGGGGTAGACAATTTGATTGTGCGGGCTTTGTCATGTAGCTGGATGTAGTACTAGTAGAAGTAGTAGTAGTAATAGTAGTAGTAGTAATAATAGTAGTAGTAGTAGTTGATAGTGAGTAGTGGTATAAGTGGATGCCTCATTTCTTGGGCCCATCATCGCCATCGCTTGTCTCATAATAAGCATCAAATGGGCTATCATCGTCCGAGCTTGAATCTTCGGGCAATCTCTGTAATAAGTTTTTGGGTATTTGTTTTTGATTTGGTTTTCTTTAGCAGTTGTGTCTCTGCCTTTAAAGTGGACATGCCTATGAATGGGATATATGCGAAGAGATAATGATCTGACCAAATATTGCCGAATTCTCCAAAACTGTGCAGGCTATTTGATTGTGTGTGTGTGTGTGTGTGTGTGTGATTGATTGTGTGAGTGTGGGAGGTTTGTATGGGTATGTGATGCATGCAGAGTGGGTGGGTTTCTATTGCAAGACATGCTTATTCAGGATCAGTGTTGGTTAACGCCATGCAGAGTGTGCGTCAAAAATTCTATTTGAGTGTGACGAAGTGAGACAAAGAGAGAGAGAGAGAGAGAGAGAGAATTGAATCGATCTCAATATTTATCTCGTAGTTTGGGTCTATTTGACATGCATTCATTTTAAAAACTATAATCCAAGCTCCACACATTCCGCATTTGACAAATCGGAGCTGGATATTTCAAATTGCAAAAGGGAGAAAAAAGAAACGGAGCAACGAGAGAACAAACAAACCGAACGATAGATAGTACTTAGGTAGAATAGAAACACTTTGGATATATATATATATTGAATTCAGGTACCTTGTTGAGCTAATGTAGAGTAAATCAAGTGAAAACATTAGAATTGAAAAGGCCAAAAATATAACAGTCTGCGAGTAATTCAATGAATATAATATATGTATATATATAGATATTGTAATTGTTGTAATCATCATTATCATTATCATTTAGAATTATGTACGATTGTATGTATGTAAATAATGCGAGTATGTAGTATGCGTATGGTATATATATGTTGTTGGATATGTAACGATCGATATACACTATAATAGAATTGGGAGGCACATTCAACGAGCGGCAAACGAAAGAGAATATCCGAACATTTATTATATGCAATTATGCAATAATGCTATATATGTATACTTCTTAGGACCCTAGGAATTGAGATACTCATAGATATTGAGTATCCATATGGTAGAGTATAGAGTAGTAGTTGAGTAATTGATCATGAATTTATTTACAGAAATAGAAAACTAAACTGAATATTAAAACTGAGCGATAAACAGAGATATAGATATAGATAGATAACAGATAACGGAAAAGTTACTAATAGATGTGTTTGGTTACAAATCAAATTGTTGGCCTTCCGCTTCCGCCTCGGGCTACTCGTCTAGGACTCTGCACTTACCTGCACGGAACCATGCCGATCGGCGGGTGTCAGATTGCCAAGGGTCGCACCCGGCTTGGGCACGTCCGGCCACGCAGCCACACCTCCTTTGGCATTTGTCTGTGTTCGGATTGATTGGGTCGGAGATCGAATCAGAATCGGAATCGGTATCGATATCGTTTTGAGTCGAGTTTGGTTCGGATCGGATCGGATCGGATCGGTTGCAGTTTGTCGGATAGTATTATGGGGTTGGTATTTTTTTTTGGTTTTGTTTTGTTGTGGTTTTTGTTTGGGAGCGAGCAATGCATAAATTGATCAATTATTAATTTGTCAAATATCGTTTATCGTGTTTGCATAGAGACAGAGAGACTAGACGCTAATTTTGGTGGCTAACAACAAAAGTAGTATAAACTAAAGCGTTTCAAATCGAGTGTGTGTGCGGCCAAAACAACTTAAGTTAATACAACGGAAATAAAGTTAATTATAGTAGTATAACACTTAAAGCCAAAATCAAAATCCAACGCTATCAATTGTGTGTTCTATGTGTGTGTCTGTGTGTGTGTCTGTGTGTGTGTGTGTGGGAGGATGTATTATGTATTTGTGTATTTGTGCAACAGTAGCTAAAAGTGTAGATCAGTTAGAACCGTTCACCAAAAACATGTCTAAGGCCCGAAAAAGTAAAAAGCAGTAAATTCTCAAATTCGATTAGTTTGCTAAGAAAACTTGGAAAAACACAGGCATTACGAACGTTACAAAGGATTGCATCTGGAATGCAACTCTACTAGCATACTACATACATACATATGTATATATATTTAGACACACATATAAAACAGATTCAGATTGATGGGTATCTAAGGTAAGCAAGAAATTTGCATTTATTACTTCAATTCTTGTATGCTGCACAAATGTGATACTCGAAGGGAAATTCTAACAAACTAAAAATCTAAATTTCACATTACATTTTAAAAGTATGTTTAGCAATTACATTAATCCTGCTAGCTCACTGAAATTATACGTATACGGATATTAGTTTTGCTAATCAGTAATATCAAAATCAAGAGCATACGTTATATATAGTATTGCAAAACTACAATCTCTAACCTGAAGTATTATATATTCTTCATTATCATTATCAATTTCATCAAAATCAAAATATGAGACGTCCTAAAGCAAATCACGTTTAACAATTGAGTGAAAAAATAGACAAACGTGTTTTTTTTTTTTTTTTGTTTTTGTTGATTAAGTAAAAGAGAAAACCGAAAGCAGAAACCAAAATAAGAGCACTTATATCAAATAAAATAGAGTTTGTTGTAGGTTGTAGGGGTTGAAGAAGATTTAAGAGAGAATTCGAGTATATAAACATATTGAAAGATGTTAACAAAAATAAAAAACGAAACAAAATTGAAAGCTTAGTAAATAGTAGATAATGTGAAAACTGTTTGCCTTTTAACCGGAATATATTAAACAAAAGTTAAGACAGAAAATAACTAAAAAGAAGTTTCTCGCAAAGTGAGTGAAAAATTAGAATACTTTACCTTAGCCGTAACATTATGACGATCTTTATTTGGTGAAATGATGACTTCATGGCCAGTTTGCAGAGATCCGACGGGCGTTGACTGTGGGCGTGGTTGGTCAATGATATATATGTAGACATATATATATATATATATGTATCCCATATATATGTATATAAATATATATATATATATGGATGCAGTCGATTTAGTTTTTGATTAAGATTATATTTAATGCACACAGTAGAGAGTAAATCGAATCGATTCGATTAAATTTTTTTTTTATATTTTTAGACACATATAGACACATGAAACGGTGTTTTTTGTTATATTGTTTTTAGTTGTTTTGTTTGGTTTTGTTTTTCGATTGATTGTTTGTTTGTTTATAATTATTGTTCGATGTAGTTGTTGACAACCATAAAAGATAGGAAAAAATATGTCAAAGAGAGAGAAAGAAGAGAGTGCTGTTAGAATGGCTTCAATTACAGTTAGTTTTTGTTTGTTTGTTGGGTCTTAATGCTAGTGTGCTTAACTAAAATAAAAATAATATATAAAAAAAAAACACAATGCGAGTAGCTTGCGACAAGCGTTTACCAACACTGCAACAAGCAAATCTAGCACGAAAGTTGGCAAATTTTCTCTGGCAATACCAATATAGAACCGATCATATATTTATATACCTTGTCTGACTTATTCTTGGCCACATACGAGGGCGGCGCATTTTTAATGATCTTCATTTTATCCAGCTGGTCCTTGGTCTAACATACACATACGAGTACAAACACATACACAGATATAAAAGTCCGCAATCGAATAAAGCAAAACTCGCAGCAAAACAAGCAATAAATGAAAGCATTTAGTTTTTTGTTTTTTTTTTGGGGGGAGTGGGGATGGATTATTATTTTTATCACTGTTATTTTCAGTTTTTTGTATATCTCATTAAATTTGAGTTGGCAACTTGCGCTTTAAAAAATATATATAGTATATTCAGAAACGGAATGTAAGAAATAAAAACGCGCTTCAACATGAAGTGAACAATTTTTAGGCCCATCATTGTCATCATTATCATTATCATCATCATCATTATCATCTGCATCGTGATTAGACATCTTTGGCTCTGTTGCATGCGGCATGGATCGAGATTGAACTGTTTAACTCTACCATGCGTTGCCCATATATATTTAAAAATGATTGTTTTCGATTGTTAGATGAGGAGGCGCATTACTCAAGTTAGTTTGTTATACGGATACGGGTTACGGGGTACGGGTGGGATATGTCTTGCTTTTCTTAGGTCTCCTATAAATTAGATATGAATTTAGAATTCGGCACAGATGCATGATTTCGAATGTGATTATCCATTTGACAAATGTGTGTGTTTGTATGTTATCGTAATAATAACAATAATAATAATAGCATCGAGACGCGTTGATTTTTGTCTGTTCATCAGTTTCAACTGGGTTACCTACCATTGTCTTCCCTGTCCAGTCGAACTCGCCCTCGTCGGTGTAGCCCTTACGTTCGAATAAGTCTTGAAACAGTCTTCGCAGAAAATCATAGTCGGGTGTTTCGAAAAAATCTAACCGCCGCACATAACGCAAATATGTTGCAAACTCTTCGGGGTGGCTGTCACAAAGTACCTGTAAAATATTTCAAAAAAAATATATTAGTCGAATAAAGCACAAAAGTTATGTTTAAAAATTATGTTTAAAAATATTCTCCTCACATTGGCGACTGTTTCTCATTTCGAAACAAATGATTTTCTAAACAAGTTGATGATTTGTGCTTAGCACTATTACGACAAGTCGACCGAGGTTAAAGTTTCTATAATGAAAGTGCTTTTTATCGAATAATCTATAAAAAACTTGCAACGATTTTTTTAAAATTCATTTTTACTAGGAAATACCCCGAGCACAGCTGTTAAATATATTTTCACTTTTCAGATACAGGTTATAGTAGTTTTATAGCCAAATTTACCCTGACCTGATTTTACACAGGCAAAATTTAATCAGGCTATTAGTTTGATCTATACGAAAATATGGTTTGCTTATCAAAATCTGAGTTTATTATCCTATCTTCATAAAATTTCTACAACTCATCATCAATAATATATCAAAGTATATTACACATCATTAAGAAAGCCGTATCTTTAAAATTGCGTCTTTTATTGCTATTGGAAATCGATTCGTATCGATCTTGGCAAAACGGGGACAGTTAGTTATCAGTAAAATTAAATAAATGGTATACGAGTACTTGTATTCCAAATTAGTCTATATTTCCTATAGTCTCTGAGATCGGCTTGTTCATACAGACGAACATTAGTAAACCGATTCGGCTTTTAATGATGATTAAGAATATGGTTTATGGTGTCGGACATGCTTCCTTCTGCCTGTTACAACTTCCTCATATATTATTTTTTTAATGGGGCCAGGGATTACATATAAAAAATAATATGCTTTCTACCGATGTTGCTGTAGCATATTCCTTTGAAATTAGAAATAACTTCAAATATATATTTTGTACTATATCCGTCTGCAATCTGCAGAAAGACAATCGTAACTCACCTCAATGGGCGTTGCACGTTTTGTATCACCGATTTTTTGATATCTCTCTTTGAGTGTATCAGCCTTAAGGCCTTGCCAGGGCAGTGAACCTCTTAAGAAGTACATAAACATATGACCCAGTGCCTCCAGATCATCACGTCTCGACTGCTCGCGTCCCATATGCGTATTGATTGACATATAGCGAGCGGTGCCTGTCAGCGATTTATGCTCCCGATATGGTATATGTCTATTTGTATCTAAATCAATGTATTCTTTGGCCAAACCGAAATCTGCCAAAAAAAAATATATATATATGTATATATATACATGTATGTTTAATTTCATTTTCACTTACCAATTATGTGTATAATTTTTTCACGTTTTGTTGATGTTCTGCCAATGAGAAAGTTCTCTGGTTTCACATCCCTATATATTAAGTGCCGACTATGAACATATTCGATCCGGTGGAGCTATGATTACATACAAATTTCGATTAGTTTCTTGCCGTCTGACAACAAATTCAAGCAGAGTCTCCCAAAGAGCAGAATTAAATTATAAAAAAAAAAACAAATTATTTTTCATAATTATGCAATAATTTTCTTGCTCACTGACAGACTCTGTTGAAATGTGTAAATGAATTGTTGAATTATTTAAATTAAATTTTAATTTGTAGTGTCTCAACTAGCTGAAGTTTTTTATTGTTGTTGTTGTTGGTTTGATGGCAACGATATTTTTCTTTTTTTTTGTATCTTTTTGATTTGATTCGATTTTGGATTGAAATTAAAAAATTAATGTGAACGCAAACTAAAAAACAAAAGTCTTCCAAGTCAGCTACATAATAAATGTACATGCAAATTATTATTATTAATATTATGTACGTAATTGTTTTTTTTTTTTGTTTTACAATGAACGTTGGCAGTTAACAACTAAATTCTGGATATTGAATAATTCGGCTAAATAAGAATAAGCGTCAGTAAAATGTGTATTGCTTCAATGATGTAATGCTAAACTTAAGGCAAAAATAATTATTGAAGTATTGAAAAGAAATCCTTAACCAGATGGTATATCGTCTACATATGAGGTAGAAAAGAAAGTGGAAGGAAAATAAAACCGCTGCATCCGTTTTACTGTTTTTGTTGTTAGTTAGCAAAATAAAAAGAAAATAATGAGATAAACAAAAAAAAAACATTTCGGTGATAAATTAATATAGTTAATTAACTAAGCAAATTCACCCAAGCAGCCCCTACACACACACACACACACACTCACTCACACTCACACATTTAAACAAAAATTGGATTGGAATTGGGGGTAGATGTGTGAAATTTGAGGCCAGTGTTGGTTAATTGTGGGCATAGCTCTGCTACCAGTGTTGTTGTACGTGAGAGCAGATATGTGAAATGTACTGAGAGAAATGCGCGTGCTCGTTTAGAAAAAAAAACCAAAATTAAACGTTACTAATTGCTGTGGTTCTTATTATTTTTTTTCTTTTTTTTTTTTGTAGTATTTTTGTGGGTGGTTTGGTGGTTGTGGTGGTGTGGGTGGTTTTTGGTTGTACTTACTAATTGTATAGCTATCAGTAGTACGCTCTTCAAAGTGAAACGTCTGCCGCAAATATCGAACAAATCTTCGAGTGATGGGCCAAGCAATTCCATAACAAGAGCATTGTACTTGCCGCATGGGCCGAAGTAATACACTTCTGGTACACCCTCTGCTACAGGCCAACAAAAATTTCGAAAATGTTCAATGTTTTTTTTTGTTTTTTTTTTTTTTGTTTTTGTATATGAAATCAAGTTTTTTTTTTGTAGTGTTGGGCAGCGCACAGAAGTAACGTAGTTTTTTTTTTGTGGGGAGGGGGAAACGTTGTTTGTTCGTTTGTTGTTGTTGTTGTTTTATGCAAAAATCGAGAGGGGAGAGAGATAGGGAGAGAGAGAGAAAGAGAGAAGAGAAAGAAAGATTGAGGTAAGAGAGACAAATATAAAAACATATTTAATATTTTTTTTTTGTATAATTCCAGCAAAATTTAATTTTTTATGAGGGGAGCACCGGGTTCAACAAGACATAGTCGAAGTGAGAAAGGGAGACAAATAGAGAGCGAGAAAGAGAGAGAGAGAGAGAGAAAGAGAGAGAAGGAAGAGAGAGTGAGCGAACAATAGTGAGATATATGGCTCTTTTGGAGGTTAGTTTAGCGCGTCTTACTTTGATTACCACCTTTTTTTCTTTTTATTTTTTTTATAATTTTTTTTTCAGGGGAAAACTGCTAAAAACAACAAGAACAACAAAAATAGAGTTTCTCGAAGCATATAAAACGAGGAAGCCTGTTAAACGACCCTGTGTCAACTAAATGCCTAATATTTTTTACATGGCGGGTGGAGGAGGGAGTTAACTAGATTATTTTTCAATTTATAACACTTAAGGCTAGTTAAACGCGTTAACTGCTGCGGCAGGCCAGACTTAATCTTAACTTAGGTGTATAATTGTTGAATTGAGTGTGTATAACAGTTAAGTGTTGGTTAACCACTTTAGCAAAAAATATATTCTCTTGGAGCTGTGTTAGTAAGTTGGTTAAAATAAGTAATACTCAAAGATCAGCACATACAAGAAGAGTTTGTCAATAATTGAAATTAAGAAGAAAAAACAAGAGGGGAAAATCGTTAACTTAAGCAACTAACGAGAAACTGTTATTTTAAAATGCTTTTGCTTTTTTTTTTTGTATACAAATATATGTATGTATATTTATAGAAAGAAAGTTGTTCTTTATTATTTACATAGGAACATTGTAAGTAGTTTTTTGCCTATTTACGACGCTTAGTTTACATGCTTTTAATTTAATTGGTGGTTTTTATTAAAATTCAATTTTTAATTTTGATTTTGGGTTTTAATAAAGCTACAACCCAAGAACGAACAGAAAAAAAAAGAAAAAAAAAAGAAATAACGAGATCTTATTTGTAAAACTACGACAAAGGTTTCAGTTTGTTGTTGGCCAACTTTGTTCCACACTACATAAACTAAAATTTTCACACCAGCGTTCATTGTGTTTCTAATAGACAATTTACAAAAAAATTAACAAACGAAAAAAAAATATATAAAATTGTTGATAACTTGCCGTTGAGACACTTGGCTTCAAAATGTATTTTATAATCGAGAAATAATAAAGTGTAGAACAGTTTAAGCTATAAAATATTACACAGATTTCGCATGGTCAACGACTGTTATATATACACTGTTATACAGTATAAGAAAAATTTTTCAAAAATGTTTGTTGCTACACATGAAATCCGTGTAAATTTTGCTCAAACGTGAAATTTGAAATGCGCCAAATTTGTTGTTGGGGGTTTAACTTACAAGTTGTTTCGCTATCATCAATACAGTCTTAAGTGAAAATTTACGGGAGCAAATATTGAAGAGATCTTCTAATGATAATCCCAATAACTCTAAAACCATGGCATTGTAACGGCCACCACAAGTGCCCAAGTGATAAATGCGTGGTATGCCTTCTGGGGCGTTTTCGGCTGTGGGATCGGGCATCGGATTGGTTTTCGTTTTTTATTTTTGGTTTTTTTTTTATAGGGTATGTGCCATGCCATCACAATGTGTTTTGTATGGAACAGAGAGAGAGAGAGAGTGAGAGATCAGTCGATTTGTTTATCGGTTGGTGGGTTTTGTTTATCGGTAGTCGCACGATGATTATTTGGTATCGATAATTCGGCATCGGCATCGTTATCGGTTTCAAATTTCACATTTCATGGGATTTGCAGCATCGATATATAGGAATCGGGATCATTATCATTATCAGTTACAATTTGCACAATTTTCATCGTGTTTTTTTTTTAAATGGTTGTATAAAGGTAGAAACAGAGCAATTAACAGATAACGAAAAATAAGAACGGGGCGAAAGAATAACGTAAAAAAAGAATGTTTTAAAAGGTTTTGAGTTGAAGAAATCAGCATATACATATTAAGTTGGTGGGTATAAAATCAGATGAATATAATGGTAGCACAGCATATAATATATAGCTGCCTACAAAATATACAATACTTTTTATTTTTTCACGCACCGACCTCCGAAATATGCTTGAGAAAATCTATTCATGTCTTCTTATGTGTATATTCTTATAGCACTCACAAAGTGTTATTTATAGTTGATATTACGAGTTTGTTTTTGTCAAACTAACGAAGGTGGTAACGGTGCAAAACATAGTTTTTTTATTTTTATTGGAGTAGTAGGGTTTTTTGGTTAGCAGTTCGTCAAACGGGCGTGGAATATATATATATATATAAATATATATATATATAAATATATATATATATAAATATATATATATATATATATATATATATATTATCATATTTCTGATTTAAATTTTATTATGTTTGATTGTTAGTTATGGCTGTTAGTGTTTAAGTAAGGGGTAATTGGTGGGGGGTAGGGGGAAAGTATGTAATAGAAACATTCAATTCAACATACCATGTGATCCTAATAGCTTATAAAACCTATACTCTAAGTGTAGTTGCGGAGCCTTTGACTTCATCGGCTCCATTTTTATTGCTACATGTTCATTGTTGTAAAGATTTTTTCCTGCAAAAGAGAGAAAGAGAGAGAGAGAGAATATAATGTGATTAGTTGTGCAAATATGAATAAGAGCATACAAAAATAAGAAATAAGATAAACCCGTCGCATGCCTAAAACTGATTGGACTCCCACACAACACACATATATAAAATGCACATCATGCTCAAGAGCGAAACTGGCAGACCAGACCTGACCAGAACTGAGTAACTAACTAACTAGCCAAAACCAAACCAAGCCAAAACCAAACTAGCATGCAGTTGTCGCCGCATACCTGTTAAATTCTCAGCACCACGCCCACCAACTGATGCGCCTCCAAAGCAACACATGCGACGACCTAACCATTAAGACAACACCATATTTCAAATTAGATTCAACTAATTATTGTTCTGGAAAAACCCGCTTTTTTGATGATTAAAAGAAAGCTGGAAATCCCCATGAATTTCTCCCGAAAGAACCGCTAAAAGTTGAATCTGAATTTATCTGTTTGCAACTCGATAACTATGCATATATTATTATAAATATTTGTTGCATGAAAAATGATATTTTAAGCGCATGTACAATTACTAAAACTATGTATTTATAATATTTATGTATGAACATAAAAACACATGCTAAACGTTTAAGATGATAATTTGAAACCCCTTCAAAAATTATTTATCTTTGTTTGTGAACTGATCCTGATTTTGATTTGGCTTATTAGCAATAATTGTTAATTGTTTAATTTAAATGTATTAAATAATTAATTGACTGCTTTTGCCCAATCTGGCAACTCTAAGCGATCCCTGCCAACGTCGTTTAGCTGCCTGCTAGCGTTGCCATCCATTGTACATTTACGTATATTACATATGGATAATTATGCCATGCCCATTTTCCATTACCATTATCACATAAAAATTGTCAACAAAAACCGCAGAATTTGAATATTTCTGGTAATATTCCCACAGCTGAGGTGAGCTGTATTCTAATTAGTTGTACAATGTTTGAAAATCAAATACAACAGCGAGACGAGAATGAGAATGAGAATTTGTTGACTTCTCTCGCCAAAGTCTCTCAGGTGCGAAATTATGTCACGACAACGGACAACAGAGCGAGGGAGAGTGGTGGGTGGTGGTACAGGCGGCAGAGCTTATCGTTCACCACAACATTGTCGTCGTTGATAGAGTCATCAAGCAAGCAAGCAAGCAAACACACACACACATACATATATATCTATATCTATATATATATATATATATACACACAGAGTTGTGCACACTCATAATACTGATGTGCGAGAAAAGGGCGCATGATTTTGATTACAACAAAGCAGATTTGCATGTAGAGCAATTCAACAAACTGGCCACGCCCCCTTGTATACCACCACTGCTTGGCTTGTTTGTTTATTTATTTAATAACACGACCTTCCAGCTGAATTCTCATTTCTCATTTAGCGGCGCTTTCTGCCAATTTGTGTTTGCTGTAAAAACGAATACACACAGCAAGTAAACAAGACAACATCATCTCTTTTCTCTTGATCTCCTCCCGACTGTGTCTCCAGAAGACTTTTCGCAGCTGGTCATTAATTTATTGGAAGCACAACAAGAAAAATTATTATGAATTCATAATAAATCCCCTTAAACGCAATACTTTTTTTTATATTTGGGCAGTTTTCAGAAATAATTTTATTGATTTTCACTTTAAAGTTTGATGTTCTATTGAATTTTGTGGAGGCGCCAGCCAAACTGTAAAGCTACGTTAATTGTTATAGGCAAAGAAATCAAGGTAGCAGCAGTCATAATTCATAATATTGAGTTTTAGTTAAATATAGATAACATTTTGAAATATTGACGGCGAACAGAATTTGTCTACAACCCAAAGATACTTAAATATGCAAATAAAAAATGGATCTGGGTGTGTATCTAAATAAAATTGAATTGAGAAAAAACAAACTATGATGCAATTTTACTAACAGCAGCGGACCAGAAGGGAGGCAGAGAGAGAACACAATGACTATTAGCCCATTTTTCTCATCACACTTAATAAGCGTGCCATAAACCAAGCGTAACTAAAACTATCATGACCTAACGCAATATACAATATGAATTATATATCTATATATTTATATATATATATACGCGTACACCATTCATACTTATGAATGTGTTAATAAAAGAATGTACAAATACAACAACAAAAAGAAGCTTTGTGCGGTGTCCAAAATAGACAATAGACACGAGACTCCCAAAATAAACTAAACAAAAAGAAAGAAATTTACCAACAATGAAAATAATAACAAAAACAACAATAACAACAGACTATTGCAAAATGATCCCAATGTAATAAAATAAAAGGCAATTTTCTTGGTTTTCTTCAACGTTATGAGTCAATTTCAGTTTATAAATACACATAATTTATTAAATAGAAAATGACAATAAACCACAAATAATGATTACTTAAAAGAATAAAAAGCAAACAGAAAAATAATTGCATATCTGTATGTATGAAGAATTCATAAGAATTCTCTAAAAACCCATGCGTATGAGCAATATATGTATAAATGTAATGCGTGTGTGTGTTTGTGTACGTACACAATATCAATTTATAAAAATGATATCACAACAAAGCAGACACGACGTCATCAACGATACAAATTTGTGCCAATTTTGCGATCTATGTTAAGGGACAGTGCGTTAACAGCGCGCTGTAAATAACAGCATGTTAGCAGCACAGTGCAATCGAAACTACCAAAACTGAGAGTGCAACATGAGAATGCGAGTGTGAAAAAAGTAAACATACTTTATGATACTCTTCTTGAATCTACTCGATAATCGACAGCTTAATCAACTTTTCCTCTTCTGGTGTAATTTTCACGTCTGAATAAAACCGACTTTTTTTAAAAAAAATTACTTTTGGGTGTAACAATTTGCCATTTTTAGTTTGCTATTATCTATTTGTATATATTTATAGTTTGCGCAGGATAAAATAGCTTGCTTAGCTTATAAGTAGTTCCATGGAAAGCTACTAAATCATTTATAAAACCAAGCAGCAAAAATGTAGCTTTTACTTGTGCTCATTATTTGAATTATAAATAGAGGTAGGCGTGTGTGTGTGTGTGTGTGTGTAACTCACAGCATGACTCATGCATACATACCACAAAAAGCAAAGCTCAGACATTGAAAGATCGTCTGGCTGTGAGAGTTGCAACAGACACAACAGAAACAGAGACAAAGAAAATATGCAAAACAAAGCGCACTTTTAAGAACACAGCAGGTAAGAAACATGAGCGAAAGAGATGGGTAGAATAATGCTTGGGGCAGACGCAATTAGTTGTCATTCATAGGGAGACAAGTTAACAGTTTAAGCAGCACTGTGAGTATGCTTGACTACCTGTTGGCAAAATGACAAGTACAACAACAAGAACAGCAGCTGCAACAGATGTATGCAAATGCATAAAAAGAAGTGGCAAGGAGACAACAAAAAAAAATTAAGGAGTTGCAACAAGAAAAACACAATTTTATAAAAGCGCATTTAGCAAACAAAGAAGAAGTGAAGAGGCCAACAACAACAAGAACAACGATGACGACAAAACAGATGGCGGAATGGAATGGAATGGAACATTTTACATTGGGTATTGTGGAGACAGAAAAAAGTTCTCATTGTGGTTTCTCGACTTGTTGTTATTGTTGTTGTTGTTGCTGTCTTGTGTTCGTTTTGTTGTTGTTGCTCAGTTGGCAGCCATGAAAAGGAATGCGAATGCGAATGCACATGCAAAGAAAGCAACAACAACAAAGGAAAATGCTCAATCCAAAATATTCGCGACGCATCGCCTACATGCCAAAAAAAAGCAGCGACAGCGCGACAGAGATAAAGATAGGAAGGGAGTGTACAACAAGTTGGCTTTAGATTTGAGTCATAAACTGAATTTACACAACTTTTTTACAGTTATAAAGAATAATAACACTCGTCGCCGGCGCAATCTGTTCTTTTTGCACTAATAAATTGCCCTGACTAATGTGCCGCAAGATTTTATGTGGAATATGATAAGTTCTGTAGAGACAGGAAGAGAGAGAGAGAGAGAGCGCGCGAGAGAGAGTGACTGTCATGTTGACCTACTAACTGGCATACGAAACTCTCCTCTTTGTGAATTTGTCTTCGTTGATTTACAGTTTTAAAGGTGCACAAGGGATCAAATTTCAATTGAGTGTTTTTTTTTTCATTTTCATTGTTGAGCTTAAATTGATACCTGAAACATTCGAAGAAAGAATGTTGCTTTTAGATCAATTTTAAAATTCTTGTAATGGAGTTTTACAACTAAGCAGACAACACATAGAGGCTGGCTTCAAGTCGACTAAAAACTAAACTGACTACATGAAAAATCTGAGCGTTTGGCTTAGTGGTTTCAGATACCCTTCAGATCTAGGATCTGCTTCAGATCAGTCTCTATTATGATTATAATATATAACTTACAGAAACAAAATATTCCAATTCTCCTTGCAATTTGCAGCCTGTTGATATATTCTGTTACATTTTGATAAACAAAAACTTACCTAAGCGCAATTCGCCAAAGTTGCCACAGCCAATTTTTTTGCCAACACGAAAATTTGGTCCGACCATAAGGACACCGGTTGTGGTGCTTACAGATTGGCGGGTGGTATACATGTTATTGCTTGTGCTTTTACCAATGGTAGCATTTGCCACATTACCAGCGGATGGCCCGGCAGTTGTCGTCTGTGGACCACCACCACTGCAAATAGAAAACAAAAGAATAGCAATCGATTAAAATATTATATTAAAAGAAGAATATAAACAAAGATGTCTGTGTGTGTGTGTCTGTGTGTGATGCAACAACCAACAACCTTAGGTAGGTCTTCAACTTTTCAATCAGCTTGGGCGCCATAATCACAAGTTTAACCAAACCAAATAAAACAACTGACATTCAACGAAACTTATAGTCGACTTGGGGCAAACAATGCGATTTATATATATATATTGCTAAACATATATATACCTTAACTTAACAATCGCGAATACTAATTAAACGCTCTCTTGGCTGTTGATTTGTTTTGTGATTATTGTTGTGTTTCAATTGTAATTGTAATTGTACGTACGATTTGTTTTTAGATTTACGATACATTCAATTTTGAGAGAGAGAGAGAGACGACTAACGCAAAGCAACGTGTTTCCAGACATTTCGCTCTCACTGGCTCTCTCTCTCACTCTGTGTTGCTCTCTTTCAACTATTATAAGCCTGTCTGATCATTGAGTTTGTGTTTGCCACAATCTGTACTCCGTAAACAATATACACACAGGGGGTCACTTAACTCAGCCCAAGGCGAAATGTGTTGGCTATAATAAGTAGTTGTGCTTGATTCGATATTGCGACTGAGCTTGTTGAATCCTAGATACCCTTATTTCATCAGCGATATCGATGAAGATTGATAAAATACAGCAGGATAGTCTATAGCCATGTGTAAACGGAGAACAGGTTGTAGACAGGTTGCAGAGACGCGTAGGAGAAAGATTGTAGCAAGTCAGGCGAGAGTCAAATTTGATCTTATGATTAAGAATAACACACTAAATATTAAAAAAAAAACACAATGTTTAAGTTTAAGCTAAAATCAAATTTCAGCAAACGTGTTAAAAGTTATTATTATTGAGGAATACGTTTATGACTCCATATGGTATACATATTTCTGATCAACAGCACTAGCCAAGTCCCTCAACTTTTTATATATTTCGATAAAGCTTACTCTTATTATATATATATATATATATATATCTGTGAGTAACATCCAAGCTTACTGATTCTATATTATATGAAATATCAACAAACCTATTTAAAGAACTGAGAACTGTTTTTAAGATATAGTTATTATTTAGCTCAAACGCATAATTTGTAAGCTAAATATAAAGCTGCATTTTAAATCAATAATATATTTGAGTCTAGTTCTAGTGATTAGCTGCTTAAGCCCCCAATATAAGGCAACTTACATAAAAAATAACATTATGTAGAAAATAATGCGATTGCAAATATCAAGATTAAGATTTAGTGAGCCACATAAAGGTAAAACTTGCTGGGGTAAGTCTTATTTAGTTTATATCTTTCGAAGAGGAAGAAAACTTTATTTGAGGTAATTTAAAATTTCGACATAAATAACACTCAAACAAGTAGAAAACAATCAAGCGCATAGCCTAGCAACATTATTCCATTTCTGTTAGTTAGTTGGCTAAAGCCACATTCGAGTCAAGAGCATTTCATCAAATGCTGGTCTATAAATAACCTTAAAACACGACAAAATTATTTTCGATATGAGGCAAGGAAAGAGTAGATGAGAAACTAACTTGGAGTGGTTGTTGCCATGGCGTGGCAAAGGACAATGACACAAAACTTTTCGCTTGCATTTTTAAATATAGCTACAACAACAACAACAGCAACAACAAAAACACATAAACGGAAAAACCAATCATAGAAACTGTCGACTCTTTTGACCAAGAGCTGCTTCAGCTCCACGGACACCATGAATCCATGTGTTGAGTGTTCAACCGTGCATAAAATTCAATGTGTGTGTATGTATGATTGTGTGTGTGTGGGTGGGTGACTCATTTTGGTGAGCGTCGCTTCAAGCAATATGGCTGGTTTATGTTGAGAGACAATATGTATATACATATATTTTTGTCGTGTCTTGGGCGTGGCATGAATGGAACCTTCTTTCAAAGATTCTGCTGCAAATCTGGTTCAATGTCAGGTCAATCAATCAAATTATTGCAACATCTGCAACATACACACTCCACCCACCCCATACCACCCCCTGGCACAGTTACGCCTGAATGCAAGGCAATCGTTTTCTCAAGGGGAACGCAATACGTTTGACTAAGGCCAAAGTTTTCTTGTCGTGAGTTGCCCTGACCCCAAGTCAAGGTATTTTTGTGATAAAGGTTACGTATGCCGATGATGCCACATGTGGCACGCCGAAGCATAAGCATAAAAGTTCTCTGCAGCAAGTTGAGCTGTCATTTATATGATTAAATTGAAGTTGAAAATGAATATTATTGAAAACTGTACAATTATTTGCAAGAAGTATTTAATTTCTTAGAAAATGCTTTTATTTTATCTAAATTTACAATGTAATTGATTTTGCTTGTGCATCACAATACGTCAAAAATATATATTTCAATAAAAAAAAAATTGGTATATATTTTTTATTTTCAATTTTTTAAAAATGTTTGGATCAATGAATCGAGTATGCACATTTTTTAACTCTAGTTCTAAGAAATGGAAATGGAAAACGTTAAAGCGAAATAAAAATTAATTCAATTGTTAAAACACTTATCTTTTAGTGTTGTCAAATCAGTTTCTAGTCATATCTGCTCACAAGTTTCGCGAAAAAAACACACACCCACCACACACACATACACACATGCACACAGGCATGCATAAGTACACTCAGAGATATACAAAAACAAATACCGTTAAGCGCTGCTTGTAAAGGAAAAAGAGCATAAAACGCGCCGATAACAATTAAACCCAAAGCAATAACAACAAGATTTCTGCAAAAGCAGCAGCCAAATTGCTATTTGCTGTATGAGTGTGAGCGAGAAGGCGGGGGAACTTATAAATCGAATGGAAACTCAAAGAAGAAACGAGTTTTCTCCTCTTCTCTCTCGTTGTTGTTAATGTTGTTGATATTATTGCTGTCGGCTGTTTTTTTTATGGCTTAATATCCTGCAACCAAAACTGGTTCAATTCCGTTCATCGATCGATCGCCGCAACGACGAACGACGAAACAACTCCACAAAACAACATCTCCAGCTCCAGCTCCGCAATTGAGTATTGAGTTGAGGACTTTTATATACAGTATGTCAAAAAAGTGTTTGGACACAAGAAAAATGTTAAAATGTACAAATTTTCTAACTTCTTTTGCAAAATAAAGTATTTTATTATTGACTTTTATTTTTTCTTAATTTATTACTAACAAGTGGACTATTTAAAATATCTTGCACGAACAAATTTCAACAGTATATGTTTGCCAAGGTCGGTAGTCCAAACACTTTCTTGACAGTCCAAAGAATATATAAAGTTTCACATTTGTTTAAATTAATAAATCTTGTTAATCTCTCACTCAAAAGTAGAAAAATAAGAAACAACATAAAATTCAATAACATACGGGTTTTTTCAAAAGAAATGAGACGCATTTTTTCCTGTGTCCAAATACTTTCTTGACATACTGTACATGTAATTTCGATTCGTTTGTTTTACTTTGCTTTATTTTTATTATTTCTTGCCGCTGCTTGACAAACGAGTTCTTAATCTTTCTCTCTCTGTCTGTCTCTCTCAGTCTGTCCCTCTCTCTCTCTCTGTTCCTCCCTTCTTTTCCTGTGGCTGCTGCGCTGCTCTCGATATGCTTTGCCTTTGTTCTTCTACTCAAATTGCACGCCGTTCGTTTTATGAATTAAATGTGAGAAAAAAGGCTCACACAGTCTGCGATCGGGACACAAAGCAAGGCACACAGCTGGCTGACTGGTCTGTCTGTCCGTCTTTCTCTCTGCCTGACGGGGGACACTCTATCATTGACCGGTTTCTAGGTTGTTGCTTGCGGTTGCGAAAACGGACCAACTGAAAATAACCGCTCCCTCACACACAACACATGCACACGCTCTTTGTTCACAACGACGAATTGTAACTGTAGATGGGGACCTCGCAATAAAAGTAGAGAAGCTAATAAATTTTCATAGATTGGCAAGTTCTTTAATCCTGTTTAAATGATTTGTAAAACTACAGGTATGATTAATATATGTATATTATATACTCAATAAGAATAGAGGAGTTAATAAATGTGTTTCACTTGGTAAATTCTCTAAACCCGTTTTATTATCAATATAATTATTTTTTAAGCTACAAGTATGAATAATATAGTTTTTTCCCAACATATTGTTATCTATAATCTAATTACTGCATATGACCATGAGTGTTTTTTTTCTATTATTTATATTGAAACAAAACTTGAAAATAAAAGTTTAATTTTATTATAAAGATAGTTGCTAAGAGTTTATTTTTTTCATACCCATTTTGCATTTTTAATTTAACTTTTTTTTAATAAGTAAATCCGCCAGTTTTATTTTTCCACAAGGTTTGGCTTACAAAACTTCCTGCCAACAGCAACACTTTATTCTCAAACAAAAAAACAACTCAACTTTTGAAGAAATTGAATTGTTTCGTTAAAAGAAAACTCGCTTACAAAACTTATCGAGGCGGATTGCAAAAATAGAAACCAAATCGATACATTATTAAAAATAAGCCGGCAGCTTAAAAATAAAACTCTTTCATGGAAAAGTTAACTTGGCCCACAACCTACAAAAACACAACACGACACACACACACCCTAAGCGCAAATTGAACGAATATTCAACGCAAAGCGGAAAGTAAAAAGACGGGCGACAAGAGTCACGCAGAAGGGGCGTGGAAGGGTGGGACTGGGCTGGGCTGGGTCGAAAGTGAATTTGAAAACTCGTCATAGGCGCATAGGCAAAATTGCCATTGGAAGTCGAGAAGCGGCTGTCAACACCTCCCTCATAGCAACAAAAGCAAAAAATAAATCAAACTGCTTTTCGTCTACCTATTTGTATTTTTATTTTATTTTGTTTTTGTCACAAATTTAGTCAAAACAATTTGCATAGTTTGTCAAATTATTGATTTGACAGGTTGGAGCAGTGCTTGTCAAACTATAGTTTTTGACTCATTCTGCA